GGGGGGCCGCCGCGCGGCTCCGTGAGCGGTAACGGTCGGGTGCGCCCAAGCGCTTTTCTTCCCGAGGGGAGCGAAATCGGAGCGGCGTCGCGCCAACGCGCTTGCTGCGAGAGAGAACGGATTCGCAGGTGAAGCCGCCCCTCTGAGTGCTTTCTGCGCTCCCTACTGAGGAGGGCGAGTTTTATTGCCGTGTAAGGCGTTGCGTCTTGAGAGTGCTCTTGGAAGATGGCCTAAGTAATGAGCGGTACTGAGGTGACTAACTAAATTTTGCTTGGCTAAACTCCATTTGAGATTTTTAGGAAGCAATTATAGATAGATTATGTATTCTCTGTGCTCTAGGAAATCGCAGTTCTTGTGTGAAGTGAGCTGTGATGCATTTTGCTGTGTTGAATTTTATTTTTGCAACTGATACTCTTTTTTAGATCTTTCGGGCACAACTCTGGTTTGAGAAAAATAACATTTTTATCTTTATAATTGTTCATTACCACATAAGGTCTTAACAAGTATTCAGTTCCAAAGAGGAGAGGAGCGATGTATTTTGCAGACTGTCTTAATTCACAGCTAAATAATATTTATAAATGTCTAATTATTCTCTAAAATACATATTCCTAATTTGAGGAAAAGCAGTTAATTTCACATAAAAAAGGAACCTGGAACATTTCAAATATGTATATAGATTTATTAGAATGAAGTGGCTTACTGTGATTCTAAGATATTATGCATTACATAGGAAAGTATAAAAAAAAAATATACACAATACTACAGTCCAAACAGAAATCCTTAGATTTTTAAAAACATTAGGATTAACTAGATTAGTTTTTTTCTTGCCAAGACATTTGGAAGTACTTTTCTTAACTTTCCATAAGATGCCCATGAAACTAGTTACTGGTCAGAACCCTGCAACTAAATGGGAGGAGACAAACTGGTTAGTAAAGATTTTTCTAGTGGAGATGAATTGTTCCCATGTAAAACGGGCTTTTGAAATTCAATTTACTTCTATTTGATTCTATCTCTGTACCATTCTGTGCTGAGGAAAAAATATGAAAAGTAATGGGACTTTACTCGTAAGAGTTGTTGCTCTGAGGAAGATGAACATTCTAACAAGTTCCTAGATTTTACCTTCTTTAGCTAATGAAGGTTAGAATACTGCTTTGCCCACTATGTTAGCTTTCAATGACTTAGCATCTTTTATAAAAGTACCTTTTATCCTAGGGTAGACAAATCCTTAAATGGAAATGCAGTGATACTTGAATTTCCTTTCATTTTTCTTCTTGTCCTTCTGAAGTTTGGCTACAACTTTAAAAAGGAAATTTTAAATATAAAACTGGTTAATACAGGTCACTCTCACAAATTAACTGTTAACTGTCATAAATCTAGATATTTAATTTCTCTCAATTCTTTTCCTTTTAAAGGCCTGATACAGAAACCAGCCAAAGTCCTCAATTCAGCTTTGAATCCTTACCCCAGAAGATTTGTCTAATCTGTGGTGATGAGGCATCTGGTTGCCACTACGGAGTACTTACCTGTGGAAGCTGTAAAGTCTTCTTTAAAAGGGCAATGGAAGGTACTATATGAGGCCATTGTTCCTAGTTACTTGAAATATATCTTTCTAAGCATTGCTAAGAACATAACTTTTTTCCATCGCTGAGACAGATCTTTAAAAGTATTAGCAGTGCAGTCAGTTTTTGTTTTGGCAACTCTCTTTAAAGTATTGCAGTGAATACTAAAATCTTTCTTAATTGATTTTACTAGCATTGTTTGTTTTTTTTTGTTGTTTACTATTTATCATTTACTCTTTCTGAGTAGGCAGAGGTTCATAAAAATCTTTCATATTACACAGTTTAATATAAAAAGTTTGAATGCTAGTAAAATAAACATTTTATGGGTATGAATTAGTTGCAGACAGATAAGAATTTATTTAGGCTTCATTCTGTTCCCAAAGTCATGAGGCATTTTTCTTGCAAAATGCAGAATTTGGCTTCCCGAGTTTCATGGAAATATTTCAAGTTTTACTGAACTATTTAAAGTAGTAATAATAATAATAAATAGATTTGGCTTTTGTTCCAGCTAGCCATTAATTAACAAAGTCAAGCTACAGATTCAAAGAGACGATAATACGAATATTTATGTTTATTTTTTCTTTCTGAATTATATTTATGTGACTTGAGGTCATTGTCGATATATGCCTGCTGAGGTTTTGAATATGTACAAATACAAAAGCAGATTTTTTTCTATAGTTCAACCAATGATACGGTGTAACAAATGCATCTATATTTTATGCTCTGTATCCTTTTCTGTGGTTATAATATTACCCATTAGGACTAGGATATTAAGAGTCCTGCTCCATATACTTAACAAAACTATTGTTACAATGTATAGATTTCCTTAAAATAAAAAAATTGCATCCTATGTTTTCTTGTTGTGATATATAGTTCATTCAACTTTATAGAGTTTACTGACCTTAAAATGAAAAGGTTTGTGAGTACTGGGAAATTAAAAGCTTAGGGAAATAAAATGGTTTAGATTTCTTGTTTTTGTTTTAGTATGCTATTATTTTCTACTTTAAGCATATGCACATGTTTTTCTTTACACTTTTAGTGTAAGGACACTAGACTATGTGGACTATGTGGAGTTAATGCAGCATTTTTTACTCCAATACATTTAATGGGGTAAAGAGTTGGGAAACATATATGTTTGGTTCCAGTGTGGGAAGAACTTGGCTCTTAGGTCACCCCTAGACATACACTTTAGTTTCTTTGGCTGTGTTAATCTAGTCTCTTGGTTTAGCTTTGCACACTTCGCTTTTGTTTCTTTTAGTAAATAGGCCATATACTTTATAAAAGAAAAAACAAACCCAGGAAATGAAATTTTAAGAATGAGTATAATTTATAAATGCTATATTTTAACAAGTTTTATTATTCACTTTTCAACTCTACAGTAATATTTTTTTATTTTTCTATTTGAATTTGATTCTATCACATTTAAATTTGTTAAACCTCTTTGCTAAGCTAGTATCAATAGTTCTGCAGAAGGTGAACCTGCTCAAAAATGCTTTTTATTAATGTTCAGCATAAATATTTCAGTGATAAATATTAAGAAGACATATAAACTGGTAGTAGAAATGTCTTAATTGAAGGTTGTTTTCACTTACTATTTATGCAAAGTCTGTATTTGTAGAATCTTGTAGAAAGTGAAAGAAATAGTCAGCACAGTTGTACAAACAGGATGCTTATGTTTTACAAAACATCTTAAAATTCACCATTTTTAAGTGATTGCAAAGAGTGGGCATATTATGAGGAAGGACATTTGATTTCTTTAATAAGAATATTCAAAGAATGGACAACTATCTCAGAAAGTGGACTATAACAAGAAAAATTATAGCCCATTGAGTCTTAAGGGAAAGAATGACACAAATAAGCAGCATGAGCAAGATGATCAGATACTGACAGAAATAAGCAGCATGAGCAAGACGATCAGATACATAGTTATACATAGTTACCTGGCTTTATGTAGAAGGTGCAAGTCTGTGGAGAGTTCATTAAAGAGATGGACTTCTCATTTTAACTGAAGTATGGAATATAATTAGCAGCATTGAAATAAACTCATGTATGGATAGATGCCTGGTTTCTCTCTAATTTGGACTTAATATACTTAATTTTCATATAATTTGATATCACAAGTAAAGGTGACAGAATACTGTTCAGTAAGAAAAAATAGAATATTTTTATTGCAAATACAATAGAAAATGGTGTTAAAAGCTTCACAACAGTAAGTGTGTAAATTTAGTTGAGCATATTTTTAATGTAAAATATCCCTATACCTATCATTTCATGAAGTGAGACTGCATTATTTACCTTTTTAAAGTCTTAGGTAGTACTATTACAGACATGGTTATTTTGTTTTTTAAATAATAGTTCTTGCAAATAAGATGTTAAACTTTATGAGTGCAAATTCACAGTTACAACTCTAGATATAGTGATAAGTACTTGTACAAAGCAGGAGCAATTAAAAGAAAATTAGAAATAGCAATTTGCTACTTGTTGGATTTTCTGTGTGTAGATGACTTTTTTATATATTGTGAAGCTTTCACAAGCATAAATTAAAAAAAAGAGACAAAGTATAGCGACATATAATTTGCTGACTATTTCTATTTAAAATGTCAATTTAATCTCGGATATGTTGGCCGTTTCGAGTCTAACAGCATATGTCATCTTCCTGTTCATTCACCATTTATTTTTACTCTCCTTTAGTGTGTGGAAATTACTTTATTAATTAAATGCCCCCTTTGTGTTAAAAGGGGCCATTACACTATTCAGAAAACTCCATTTTTCATTTCTAATTTTTCAAAATAAAAGTCAAGTCACAATATTCAGAATGAATAATTATTTAAAACTATGTAGGTGAGCCTAGAAATGTTTCTAACACTAAGTAAGATTTAATTATACATTTGACTGTAACTAGCAAAGATATACAATATAACTAACAATTTTCACACTTTAACAGTGGACCAGAACTGTATTAAGATCACTAAGATGAAAATGTAGATTTAGAATTAAATTATTTTAGAATGTTAGCTGGCAGTGAGTTGTTAAATATAGTGAATGTTTGTTGGCAGTGTATTGTAAAATATGATGGATAGTTTCAGTTGTTTGGGTTCTTGGCTTCACGTACGTTCATGTATACATAAAGAAGAAGATGTTAATGCAACATGTATTTTTTACACTAAACAGAATCTTGAAGAGAAATAGGTTAAAAAAGGTCAATTCAATTCCTTAGAAAAAATATTCCTTTTCCAATAGTCTATGAACTAATTTTTGCCCAGTTTTAAGCCTTGGTGCATGTTACAATATTTGTAGACCGTAAGCTTCATATTTCCGAAAGACTTTTAAGGGAAAGACTATGATTAGAAGATATATAGTACAGTTTTCAGACTCTGAGGAGCAGTTTTTAAATCATCTGGACAAAAAAATTTTGAGTGCTTTTTTTGGGAAAGCATAATAAAGCAGGAAAAAAATTAATGCTGGAAGGGGGAAGGATAGATAAGGATAAGCTAAGGGGCAAGAATAGCTAAGGGGTCAATATGCTGGGTTGTTTTGTTTTGTTTCAGGAAACATCACCTTTCTTGTCAGTGAGTTGAGAGTGACTGGCATTTTAGAGTTATCAATCAAAAAATATTCAGCGGTAGTAGTTACAGTGTTTTCAAATAAGTAGAATTAGTGTAATTTTAAAGTGACTTGCTGTTGGTGACTGGGAATTTTTTAAGTGTCACCAATAGATTTAGTTCATGGTCACACAAAATTGGGTATAATATTTCTAATCAAGGTTAGGAGTATAAGAATTAAGCAGGGGAACACTTATGTTTTTAACACTAAATTGCCAGAGTCATTAATGATATCTTTTAAAGATATTTTCACATATCTTCACAGTGATTAAATTGCTTGTGTAAAAGGATAGTAAAACTTATGTCCTGGAGAAGAATGAAGTGCTTTTCAATTGAAAGTGTCTCCTTTGCCATTGTTTTACTGATGAAAAGTGGAAATTGCCTAGATCCTGGCAAAAAATGCTGTCTTTCCTGTACAAAGACCTACTTCTTATTTTTGTTTTATATTCTTTGTATAAGATGTTCAGTTCTCGACATCCTTTGTTTATATTACTTTGACATGTAATGAAAAATAGTTGCCCTACCTAAAGAGTTTGAGGCCAACATTACTGTGTATTACAACAGATGTGTAGAAAGCTAACTATTAGTATATTTAAACTCTATAACCCTTTGGGGTGCTATTATAAAATCAGTCTAGTGATTATGTAGCAAATTTATCTGCTTTTTAATATGTGCTTCAAGTTCACGGTAACGGTGATGTACAAATAATAGTACTGGGAAACAAGCTCAACCATAAGCGCTAGCTAACACTTTGCTGCCAAAGTGTGAACTTTCATTTTCTCTGAGACCTGATTTGACAAACTCTACTTTTTGGAAAGTAGAGCTTTCAGTAAGAGTTTTCACTTATGTAATATGGAGAGATATGGATGGAAGAAGGTACTGAAATAAGAATGAGTTACAGCTACACAGCTGAAAGTCTGGCCATCACTTCAACCAATCTTTTTGATAAACTTTATGGGACTCACATTTTGTATAGCCAGTTTTATGATGACAGTGTGATTCACTACATCCTGTAGTGAAATGCTGTGCATAAGGAAAACTGCCAAATGTGTTTTTCCATAGCTTAAGAATGTAAAACGATATGCCAAATAAATAACAACAACAACAACATCTAATAGAAAGCCCTCCTTGGAAAGACAATGAAATGGAATGCTGTAGAAACCCTTTCGGCTGTGAGATTGATTGGGAAGCTGTAAAAAGCTCCCGTGTTTCCTAACTCTGCAGGGATTTCCAATTGTTAATCCAGTTTTCCAGACTGGGTCCCAGAATTTGGTACAGTGTATACCATGGACATGATAGTAATGAAGGTTTTATGAAATAGACAAAACATGCATACTGCAAGTTGAGAGATGAAAATACTTTTCACTTAATATATAATGATACCAGATTTAATATTATTAAAA